TTTTTTTTTTTTTTTTTTTTCCAAGACGACAGAGTAACTATTATAACTCAAGGGGACAAAGTCCGAATACACTGTTCAGAATACAGACAGGTCGAAACCAAAATAAAAACTGGGAGACACACCCAAAGGTGGCCTAGAGCCTCAACAAGAGGAAACCAACTATCACAAAACAATAACAAGAAAAAGAATCAGTCCCATCTACTGCTAAAAGCCTAGAGGAAAACTGATTCTAGAGACTAACTAGGATACAAAAGCAAAACAAAAAACAGAAGCTAAATAGTAATGTGGGAAGAGGAGAACTGGAGCCATTCCGAGTGAGCTATTTTCAATAACTGGGTTTCAGGCATGAGACTATTTTGGAAGATCCACAAGTTCCTTGATTTCCAAAGCCACCAAAGGATGTAAGTTGATAGTTGTATTCTATCTTCGGTTGCCTTGGTGTGATCAAGAGAGCAGATGTCCAACCACCAATATCTGAAATTTTCCCTGCTGCCTTTGATGCCTTCCCACCTAACAGGAGAAAGATCCCATGTTTTGCAGGCTCTAGGACAAGTTAGAAGGATGTGCTCAATGGTTTCAGCTGAATCTCCACAGATGCTGCAAATAGCTTCAATGTCAACCTTTTTCTTTCTCAGTGAAACTGCCACTGGTAGTGTGTCAGTGATACATTTCCACAAGAAGTGCTTAATCCTCCCAGCTACCTTGAGTTTCCAATGCCTAAAATGAACAGATTTGGGGATGAGCTGATGTGAACTGCTCTCTGGAATATCCAGCTGCCTTAGCTTGAGATTGGAGAGAGATTTGTAGGTGCTTGAAACTGAGAACTGACCTTTAGCTTCTAGTCCCCAATGAAATCTGTCCTCTCTGTCTGGATGAAGGGTGGAGATGTTCAAGATTGCAGCACTTTCATTGGGGTCAAACACTTGTCTCACTAACCATTCATTCCAGGAATGTCCATTGGAATTTAGTAGCTCATGAACCCAAATAAGATGACCTCTGGCTATTGGGATTAAAGAAGGAGAAGTGTGTGGCAATGAAGGCACCCAGTTAAGATCAGTTATCCTTGTGCTCTTACCATTCCTAACCTCAGTTTTCAGCCATTTAGAGAAGAAGGGGAGAACTTCCAGCCATGAATTCCACATCCAAGAACCCTTTTGTGTCTTGACAGCTTGAGTAATGGAGCTATCTGGGAAATATCTGTCTTTGAGAATTCTGCTCATCAAAAGATTTGGATTTGTGGCTACTCTCCATAGTTGCTTGCATATGAGAGCTTTGTTGAAAAGTGGCAGATCAAGAAATCCCAGTCCCCCTTCAGGTTTTGGAATGGAAAGCAAATCCCATTTTTTCCAGTGGATACCTCCTTCTGATTGATCTCCTGAGCTCCACCAAAACTTGGCACATAGTTTAGAAATCTCAGAGCAGATAGCCAAAGGGATTTTAAAACAGGACATTGAGAATATTGGTAGGGCTTGAAGTACAGCTTTAATGAGCACCTCTTTCCCAGCCGGGCTTAGAAGCTTAGCCTTCCAATTCTGAAGTTTCCCTCTGACTGAGTTGATTAGGTATTCAAAAACTTCCTTTTTAGATTTCCCAATTCCAAGAGGCAAGCCTAGATACCTTGTGGAGCTTTGAGGGGTGATGCCATTAAGAGTGGTGCAGATGGAGGATTTCAAAAATGTAGGTGTATTCCTGCTGAAGAAGATAGCTGATTTCTGCATATTGACAGCTTGCCCTGTAAACAGCTTGTACTTCTCCAAGATTATCATGAGAACAGTAGCTTGATCATTACCAGCCTTACAAAAGAATAGTGAGTCATCTGCAAAGAGGAGATGGGATAACATTGGACCATTCCTGGATAGCTTAACACCTTTCAGATTACCATTACCTATTTCTTGTGAGATCATGGCTGAAAGTAGCTCTGCCACAATAATGAAGAGGTAAGGGGACAAGGGGTCCCCTTGCCTAATACCCCTGGTTGGAGTGACAAAGCCATTAACAGCACCATTAATTTTAAAGGAGAATGAGGTAGTGGAGAGGCAGACCATAATTAGGTGAACAAATTGCTTATGAAAACCCATCTGCAGCATTATCCTTCTAATACAAAGCCACTCCACTCTATCAAAGGCCTTAATGAGATCAAGCTTTAATGCCATAAAAAAGTTTCTACCAGAAGTGTGTCTGTTTAAAAAGTGAAAAGCCTCTTGGGCTATGATTACATTGTCCATGAGCTGCCTTCCTTCCACAAAGGCTGACTGATAAGCACTGACACACGAGCTAAGGCAGGTTTTTAATCTCTGAGAAAGAATTTTTGATATGGTCTTGTAAACTACTGTGCAAAGGCTTATTGGTCTGAAGTGTCCCATAGATTCAGGGTTCTGACATTTGGGAATTAGAGATAAGACTGTGTGGTTCCAGTATTGTAGAATCTGACCTGAAGAAAAGAAGCTTAGTATGGCTGCCAGAAGATCTTGCTTGATGAGATTCCAGAAGTGCTTATAGAATGTAGAGGTCATGCCATCTTCTCCTGGTGCTTTGTCAGATGGGAGGTTGAATAATGCTTCCTTAACTTCTTCTTCAGAAACTGGCTTCAAAAGGGCTGTGTTCATGTCTGAGGATATGGTTTGAGGTATGAGATGCAGAATTGACTCTCCATCCCAGCTGGTTTCTGAGGAAAAAAGGTTTGTGTAAAATTCTGAAATATGGTTCTCAATGGCTGACTGAGATGTCAAGCAACTTCCCTGGGAGGTAAGCAGTCTGGTTATGGCATTATATCTTCTTCTTTGGAGAGTGAAGGTGTGGAAAAATCTGGTATTTGCATCTCCTTCCTTGAGCCATTTCAGCCTAGACTTCTGCTGCCAGTAGAGCTCTTCTTGAAAATGGGCTTTGTTTAGTGCAGCTCTTGTTGATTCCCACTCGTCCCAGTTGTCACCTGTTTTGACTTGATTGAGAAGTTCCATTTTCTGAGTAAGGTCTGCAATGAGTGCCTGATTTTGAGAATGAAATGAGGAGCTCCAGATCAATAGAGCAATCCTTGTTTTCTTGACCTTTTCTTTCAGCTGATAGAATGGTGTCCCTGAGACTGGTGCTAGCCAAGCTGTTTTAACAGTTTCCTCAAATCCATCCATGCCTATCCATCTTTTATCAAAATGAAATCTTTTTTGCTTCCTTTCTGCGGGTAGGCCCAAATCCAGTAATAAAGCAGTATGGTCTGATGAGCTTCTTAGCTTGTTGGTAATCTTGGCATTTGGAAATTCTTGCAGCCAGTCCAAAGAGCCAAACCCTCTATCCAATTGCTCTTCAACCAATTCTGGACCAGCTCTGTTGTTACACCAGGTATAAGATATCCTTCCAATCTTATTTCCTCCATTTCCATCCCTGTAATGAAAGAGATGAAGGGTAGATAGCTTGTGGGACTCCTCTGAATTCCCCCTGATTTTTCAGAATCTGAGCATATATCATTCCAATCACCAATAGCAAACCATTTAGTACCCCAGGCATCCTTACAATTAATCAGTTCCTCCATTTGAAAAGACCTGGTAATTTTACATGTACTCAAATAAACAAAAATGCCCCATTGGGGACTTTGAGAAGGAAGGGTAAATTGAACTGCAATAAAAAAGTCTTTACATATAAGTTGCTGGATTACAACATGAGAATCCCAAAACAAAGCTAAACCCCCACTGAGACCTATGGGGTTTACAATTTTTACCCTATCTGCATAGCCTAACTTACTACTAATAGACTTTACAAAAGATTTTTGCTTTTTGGTCTCTGAGATGAAAAAAAGATGAGGGTGGTGAGCTTTCACGAGCTCTCGCATTTGGGAAATTGTAGAGGGCCCACCCAGCCCTCTACAATTCCACACCACAGCTAGCATTGATCAGGTTGGTGCCATTCCAGGCTGGCAACCTCCACCTTATCTGATTGATGCTTGCTTTTCTTGATTGAAGCTTGGGAACTCTTAAGGTCCTGATGATTAAAATGATTTGGATCTTCATTGTCCTTCTTTCTTTTTGTTCCTTGATCAGTGCTAGGGGCTGTGATGGTGAGTGGTTCTCTGTGTAGTCTGCCATCCTTACTTCTGTCTCTTCTCCAGGTTTTGAGCTTTTTGATGGGAGTTTCAGCCAATGATTCATGAAGAGTTCTAAAAATAGATGTGGTAGTTGGTGCTGCAGGATCCACTTCCATTTCTTTGAGGGGTTCAATAATTGAAGTATTGTCTTCCACCAGCAGGTCATTTGGGGGGTTGATGTTATTTGCTGGAATCAGAGATTCTTTTTCTTCTTCCTGTGTGATGGAATTGTTGAGCAGAGGGATTTGAACAATCTGCTGGCTTGTTTCTGCTTGTTGAGAGGAGTGATGTGTGGATGGACTGTGCATATCTCCTGAAGGAGATTCTGTATGTGCTCTCCCTTTTGAGGTTGTAGGATTTGGTTCATAACTTCTCTGGTGGTCTGAAGCTTTCAAGAAATCCCCATACTGGCCTTCTTTTAGAGAATTGGAATTAATGTCCTCAATTCTCTTAGCACAACTTCTGTCTAAGTGCCCTATTTTTCCACAGTAATGACAGAGGTTTAACAACTTTTCATACTTGAAACCCACCTGCACAATTTCATCTCCCAACCTGATATTTGCTACTCGAGGCAGCGGCTCATTCAAATCCAAGGTGACCAACAATTTCAGAATTTTACCACCATGGTTTCCAGAGTTAACCAGGACCACATTTTTCACATTTTTGAAAGCTTTCCCAATTTTCAGCCCTACTTCCGAACTGAGCCAGTTAAGAGGGACATTTATTACCTGCACCCAAATGTTGAGCTCCATGAAAATTGGATGTTTGCTGTGCAGCCCATTAGTCCATTCTTTTAGAACTAGATACTGATTCTCGAAACTCCAGTTAATGCCTTTTGCCACTTTCTCTCGATCATCTGTATTCTGAAAAATGAACTGAAAATAGTTGGGACTAAGTTCCTTTATCTCCATTGGCTGATTGAGTCTCCAAATGTTGGACATCGTCCTCTTGATTCCAATCCAGCTTGCAGCTCGATCCCCAATAATCTTTCCAAACAAGCTACGCTGGCATTCGTCCGCACTCAATTTGATATCTTCATTTGCTATATCAATGAATTTAGCCTCCCTCTCAGAAAGAGAGAAGGTTTGAAAATGCTTGGTTAAATCGTCATCTTGAGGGTTGGTCATGATTTTCGGAACCCTAGCAGCGAAAAGTAACCCCCCACGGTTCGAAAAGAAGAAATGGTAATGAGAATAGAGGATGATTGATGCTGAATAAGGGAAAGAAACACTCTAACCACCACTATAGTCGGAAAATGAACGGAAAATAGTCGAAAATGGACGCTCCCACCTGAGAGAATAATTCGCCGCTCCCACCTGAGAGAATTTTTAGGGTTTTGTTAAAAAATACATAAAATTAAAGTATGGTTATTTGAGGTATAGAGTGGGTGATTTTATTTTAGTACGAAATTTTTTTGAATTTAAATGGTATGAATTTTATTTGGTATGGATAGAAATGTATTTAAAAATTTTGAAAACAAAATAAGTAGTATGAATTTCATTGGTATGGGTATGAAAGTCGAATTTTAGGTTATTTATGGTTAACAAAATTAAAAATTATAATTTAATTCTAAAGAATTACTTAATAAATTTGAACAATAAGTTAACCGACAACAAATCTAGAAAATTGATATTTAAGAAAATTTATTGTGTAGTCTAAATTTGGTTCCAAATTCAGAAGTCAAATAAGTAAATATTCATAACTTACGTGTCAATACAAACTTGGATGTAAATGGAATAGTCAATTATTTATAGTTTACTAAATTACACAACTACTTAATATTTTCTATTGGGATAGTTCATACAAAAATAAACTTATTTTAATTAATGAAACAATATAATTTTTATAATTATACTTATTATACACATAGGTTTTTTTTAAATATATGATAAAATTGCCAAAATAATTATTTTATAGAATCAAAGTGCGTTCAAATCGAATTTATGAATAAAATATAAAATGACACTTATTTTGAAATGAATATAATATAGTTTATTATGAGTTGCGTGCACCGTACTGTTGTATACTAATTTAAAATAAACATGTTTCAGGTAATTTTGCACAATTTATATTTTATATAACATTTTCAATAAACTAATATAGGTATATTTTATTACACATTGATTCCATATTTTTTAAGTTATAAATATATTTAGTGAGCAATTTTAATTTATAAATATTAATGAATATTTTTTACCCGTGCATCGCACGGGATTCGTACTAGTTGGGTATCAACAAATATAAATGATGTCTGTCCTTCAGTTTGTCTTGCTTCATTTCTTTGCCTTGGGCAAGCACAGACCACCCTTGATGAGATAGAGATGGAGCTTGATGCTCACGGCTCATGGTATAGCAAGTTGCTAAAAAGATCGGCGAGGGAGACAACAGGTTTTCATTTACGTAATACGTAAATAATATATAAATCAAATATATACCAAAGAAAATTAGTATAACTATAATTTCTATTTTATTTAAAATTACAATTTTCATATTTTTCTTTTTTCCCCTCTATTTAGTATATTGTTTTATGTACTATATTTTCCCTATATGTAATGTTATATTAATTACAAATTCTGAATTATATTACGAATTTAAATAATTTTGTTAGCTATTTGGCCTCTCAAATAAGAGTATTTGAGATATTTGGAATTCTAAGAATCACTACACTTGAGAAATCTTAATAAAATTGAATTAAGTTTGTTTATACCAAATAAAAACACGTATATATGTCATAAATTTTGACTACACAATAATATCCATTTATATAATTCATATATCAAATTTAAATCATGCAACTAATAAAGTTAATAGCCGCAATATTTGACCAAAATGATTGTGTACATTAATTACATTGATTTTTTTTCAATTCGAATTTAAAAAAATACCGCCAATTATTAAAATTTTCAAAAAAATTACTAGTAAAGGAAAAGACGAATTATTTAGGCGGCATTTCTACTTCTATTTCAGGTAAATACCAAACATTTGTTATATATATATATATGTAAATTTTTAAAATAAATAAATATATAACAAAACCAAACGAACTATATAAAAATATTATTAATTATTTATATATAAATATATTTTTTATTTTCAACAACAATAATACAAATTATTACACAAATAAATATAAATAATAAATATATTATTTATTATATAAATAATTTGATAAATGCACAATAAAACTAATTTAAATACACATTATTAAAAATCCATAAAACTGGAAATACACGTAAAAATATACTCACACAATATACTGCATAATAATGTTATACTAGATGCACAGATGTGTTTGTATGTGATATGGGATATTATATAGCTGAGGAATAGACCGGTTTGCATCATCGGTCGAGCAACCTCGAAGTGGAGAAAACCGGATTGGGAGAAGGATGATCGACCAAAAGGGAGGAGATCGAGTAGAGTAGCAGAACTGGTCGAGGATCGACCAGAAGGGAAGAGATCGAGTAGAGTAGCAGAACTGGTCGAGGATCGACCAGAAGGGAGGAGATCGAGCAGAATAGCAGAATTGATCGAGGATCGACCAAAAGGGAGGAGATCGAGCACTCAACAGGTGAAGAGCAGTCTAGAGCGTGGCTTGAACGCGAGAAGGCGCGTGGATGACGTTAGAAGATCTCAACGGCCTGCGCAGAAGAATAATCTCCCTCAGCTCAGAGGGACACGTGGCGATAATATATTGGTGCAGAGTGATAGTGGCGAAAACCACCCCTGACATCTCTGACACACACACACTATGTGTACGGACGGGCAGGACAGCTCACCAAAAGCCGGGCAGTTTCTAGGGCAGGTATCTCACTCCTATATATATGGGAGTGGGTCTTTTCTTGTAGCTTACGATTTATCCATTCTTTACTTTGGAAAATTGAACAAACACATACTGACTTAAGCATCGGAGGCTCTTCACCGGAAAACCCCTCCGGTGTGAGAGTTCTGTGCAGGAACGCGGCGTTCTACCGGCGAGGAAGAAGGAGGCAAGCTGATTTCAAGCCGGTCGGAGTGTTTTGCGTTACCATTTGGCGCCGTCTGTGGGACTTTCGTTCGAAAAGTGGTGTGCTGAGATTTCCGAAGCTTGGTGGCTATGGCGGACGGAATTCCTAGGAGAGATTTGCAAGCATCGTTCGACGATGCGTGGACGATGATGAGGCCGTTTGGAGAAGGTCCTCGTCCGGGCTTCTCCGGACCCTTGCGTACACCGGTGACTCCGATGCTCGTTCCCCAAGGTGTAGGAGTCACGCCGGTGCAACCAGAGGCTGACGTGGGCTCAAGCCGGGCCCAGGAGATCCGTACAGCTCAAGGAGTGGCGACCCCAACGCCGCTGCAACCAGATCTGGCCGTGACGTTGCAGCAAGGAGTGGCGGTGCAAGGAGCAGTACCACTGCCAGTAGAGGAGCCGCGCCCCGGCCAGCAGGTGGTGATGACCAGGCAGGAGATGCAGCAAATGGTGGCGAACGCGGCGGCACAAGCGGTTCAGCAGGTCACTCAAAGCCTTTCGCGAGTGGCTGCTGGACCAACGATGGTCGATAAGGACGTGTCTAGCTATGGAGGAGATGGAGCCCCGCGAGATCGTGAGGTGGAGAGGCTCGCGGAGGAAGTGAGGCAGCTGCAGGCTAAGATGGATGGTCGACCTGAAAGGCGTGCTCGAGGACATCTGTTCTCGAGGGATATATTGACTGCACCACTACCTGCGAATTTTAGAGACATGAGTTTGATGCTCGACGGGACCACTGACCCGTCGAGGCATGTAAGGGCGTTTGAGAATTTGGCTGTGTTACACGGTTATTCTGATTCTGTTAGCTGCAGGGCATTCTTGTCGACCTTGAGGGGAGGTGCGCTCGATTGGTTTCAGCAGCTCCCTCATGGATCGATCAAGGACTTTGATGACTTCGCGGAAAAGCTGATGACCCAGTATGCGAGTGCGGTGGCGCAGGAGAAAACATATTTGACGTTGATGGCCATGAGGCAAGGGGAGAAAGAATCGTTGCGCAAGTATGTTGCGCGATACAATCAAACTTGTTTGGAGATCCCCACGGCCTTGGACGAGGTGAAGACTGGGGGGTTGATACGGAGTTTGCGAGCAGGGCCCTGTCGAACATCTTTAGCCAAAATCCTTGCTCGTACGTATGATGATGTGCTGAAAAGGTGTAAAAAATATATTAATCTAGAAGAGACGGAGGCGGAGTTCGCTAAGTTGGAGGAGTTGGCCAGGCCGGAGCCAAAGAAAGGAAGGGCGAGTTCACCTCGAAAGGCGTCACCAGGTAGGAGATCGCCCAGGAGAGAGGGGCGTGGCAGGGTTGATCGAGGGCGAGAGGACCGGTGGAAAGATCGACCAGTGTTTGGAGGGAAGCGGTTCCATAAGGATTATGGGCATACAACGGAGAAGTGCAGGCACCTCAAGGATGAGATCGAGCGCCTTATTAGGGCAGGATATCTTAAGGAGTTCGTATATGAAGACAAGACGAAGGGGAAGGGCAAAGGAAAGTGTCGGGAGGATTCGGCGGAGCGGAGTGATCGAGATGACGACGATGAGGAGGATGATCCTCGAGGAGGGAGAGATGATCAAGGAGGCAAAAGGAGACGAGGAAGTCGAGATCGAGGTCAGGAGGATCATGGCCCGGTGAAGAGTGGGACGATCTATATGATTTCGGGGGGCCCGACTGATGGGAACTCGAACAATGCGAGGAAAGGCCATGTTCGAGCAGTGAAGAGAAAGAGAGAGAAGGTGGGGATCACTGCTCGAATGCCGGTGATAAGTTTCCGAGCGGAGGATGCTGAGGGAGTAGTGCTGCCCCACAATGACGCGTTAGTGATAACGACGGAGGTGGTTGGTTTTGATGTGAAGAGGGTGTTCATTGATACCGGGAGCTCGGTGGACGTAATGTTTTATGATTGTTTTGTGCAGATAAATAAGGAGCTCAACCTCGATTTGAAGCCGGTGGCAACTGCTCTGTATGGATTCAATGGAGGCGAGGTGATGCCAATGGGAGAGGTGAGTCTATCTGTGGCGTTGGGGCAAGGAGCAACGAGGAAGGTGAGAATGGTGAGGTTTGTGGTCGTGGGAGCAGAGTCATCATATAACATTATCATGGGAAGGACCAGTTTGAATGCATTCCAGGCGGTCGTGTCGACGTACCACATAACGATCAAATATCCGGTGGGGGAAAACGTTGGTGAGGTCGCGGGAGATCAGCTTACCTCGAGGAGTTGCTATCAAACCACGGTAAGCAACAATATGCAGATCTCGAGGAAGCAAGCGAAGCTTGAAGAGGGAGTGTTGAACCGACCTGGGGGCTCAAGGTCGAGAGAAGAGACGGAGAGAACAAATAAGGGGAAGGAGAAGGTGGAGATGCAGCCAGGAGGGGAGATCGAGGAGGTTCAGATGGTAGAAGGTTGCGAGGAGAGGAAGTTCCGGATAGGAAAAGAGATCGAGGAGCCCATAAGGTCGAAATTGATTGAATTGATCAGGGAATTCGCGGATGTTTTCGCGTATACGGCTGAAGAGTTGACAGGGATAAAAGCGGAGGTGATCGAACACCGGTTGAATATTGACCTAACGGTGAGGCCGGTGAAGCAAAAGAGGAGACACCATGGCACGAAAATGGACAAGGTGATCGAGCAGGAGGTTGAGAAGTTGTTGAAGGCGGGTCATGTTAAGGAGATCCAGTTTCCCGAATGGTTGTCGAATATGGTGATGGTGTCTAAGTCTGGGGGGAAGTGGAGTATGTGTATTGATTTTCGTGACTTAAATAAGGCGTGTCCGAAAGATTTGTATCCACTGCCCAGGATCGACCAGCTGGTCGACTCCACAGCAGGTTGTGAGCTGCTCAGCCTTATGGATGCGTCCTAGGGGTATCACCAAATCCCTCTAGCCCGGGAGGACAAGAAGAGGGTGATCTTTGTTACGAGCAGGATATTTCTGGCCAACCATGAAGGAGGATGCGAAGGTGATGGTGAGGAAATGCTTGCATTGCCAGAAGCATGGCCCACTCATTCATCAGCCGGCGGAGACGATGACAACGATTAGTACCCCTATACCATTTGCGCAGTGGGGTGTCGATCTGGTGGGGCCGATGCCACAGGGAACTGGGCAAAGAAAATTTTTTATTGTGGCAGTGGACTATTTCACGAAGTGGGTGGAGGCTGAACCGCTGGCAAAAATTACGGAGGAAAAAGTCATACAATTTTTATATAACAATATTTGCTGCAGGTTTGGTGTCCCAAAGGTGTTGGTGTCCGACAATGGGACGCAATTTAATGGCAAGCGGATTCGAGCATGGTGCGAAGACATGAAGATCGAGCAACATTTCGTGTCAGTTGCTCATCCGCAAGCCAATGGACAAGTCGAGGTGACCAACAGGATCATATTGAATGGC